CCCTTTCTTAAGAAAATACACGTTTTTGATATACATGCCACGAATATCAGAATTCGAAGATACGTCCGCGGAAAGGCGGCCGGTGTCTGAGATCGTTATTACCGATTCGATAGCTTCGATAAATCAGTGTTGGCCAACATAAAAAATATACAGCATATAGCCTACGTACGCGATATATACTGTCTGAAATAGCTCTTAATTCTATATATTATTAGATAATACAGTTAAAATCTCACTAAATTTTTAGGACGCTGATGTTGCCGGCTACAATTCGTCCATGACTGAAATTTACCGGTTGCATTCACTAAAAGATTTAACTGCAACGTTTGCAAAGTTGGGAATTGCTGCCGTTAGCAGCAATGTGTCTTTAGATGACAAAATTTGTTGCCCGTACGAAATTTCGAAATCGTAATTTTGCGCAATTCGTCGTCTCGATGTTCGAAAATGCAAATAAATTAAAGCTCTTTCGATTAAATCATATATATATATATATTATTTTACGCGACGATATTTATGTGACATAAGCGAAGCAAATTCCACGAGTATTCATCATAAATTGCGTGCAGCTTAAGCATCGACTGGCAATTCGCAAATTATTGAACTCAGATAGATAAATCAGTTTAACAACGATGAAATAGGAATAATTATCTGAAAAAACAAGCAACTATTTCAAACAGTACGATCGTTATATACAAATTTATAAAACGTAAACCCGCGCCCCGCGCATACTCGTATAAAACTCTCTTTAAATACTCACATACATAATTACAAATCCTCTCCGAATGATAACTTATGATATCTACACATATACATGCTTTTGCCCAACACTGCGAAGATATACATCTAAAATGAAAAAAAAAGTGGGAAAGAAAAAGAAAGAGATTGACGTGAATAATTAATCGATCGACCGGAATTGTGATTTTTTTTTTTTTAGATTCCTAAGGCTATCTAATTTCACTTTTACTTACGTATTTATAATAAACTACAAAATATATATATATATATATATATATGTATATATATCGTA